TGGCCAGGACCAGTGCTGGCTATGGGAAGAGCCCCTTACACTGCTTCTTGCAACATAGCACCCGGTACCTAGTCAGTGCTCGCCAGTGTTCCCTATAAGCCATGCACCTGGGCGTTGGCCCAGGAAAGTCTCAAATTCTGCCCAGCTGATTAACAGAGCACCCACAGCCACCTGCAGCCAGCAGCATGTGCTTCTATTGGTGGTGCACATCAGCACATGCCTCAGTGCATGCAACAAAATTCATTATGCATATGGATGGAAAAAATTAAAGAGCATTGATGCTGGTTATGGGAAGAGCCCCCCACTGAGCCACCCACACTGCTCCCTTGCAACACAGAACCTGGCACCTCTCCAGGGTCAGTGCTGGCTATGGAGAGATCCCCCCCTGAGTCACCCACATGACTCAGTGGGACTCAGATTTTGATAGAGGTCTCTTGTTCAATATCCAACAGGACAGGCCCTATTTAACTTGTAAGCTCTATCAATTTCCGAAGGACAGTAGAGTGGACATCCCTGAATCTCCAACATCTCCAGGAGACCAGTCTGTTCAAGGGGGAGAACGTAGGGTACAAGCATCCATGGACACAGACCCTCACTTACCGAGCCGTGTCTGCATCAAAGGATGACACGAGTGGGTTGAGGTGACGGTAACGGTTAATGAAGGAGTCCTTGTTGACCTCCCAGATCTCACGGTACACATCCCAGGTCTTCAGATATGCCTGGAGGAGTGTGGCATTTGCTTGCATGCCACCACTGATCAGTGCCTGGATTTTCTTGATATCTTCATCACGCTCTGAGTGCAGAGAGACAAACAGAATAGTGATCAACCATCTCTCTGCCCAAAAGGCCAGTCCCAGTGAATCAGAACCCCTTTTGCAAAGCTCGCCAGCCCTTTGGGAAATACTGAGATGGGGATGAAACTGAGGCACAGAGCAGGGACATGCCTTTACAGGGTCGGGTGTGCACATGCAGGAACTTGTTCCGTGACGAACAGGGCCGGCCCGAGGTATTCTGGTGCCCTGGGCACGGGCGCACAGTGCTGCCCCCAAGCGCACAATGTATGCATGGGCCCGCCCATGGGGAGCGGGCCCGCCCCCCTGGGGTGTAAGGCCTGCCCCCCGGGAGGCAGGGTGCAGCGCAGCCCGGGGCCCACCCCTAGGGCGCACGGTGCAAGCGCGGCCCAGTCCGGCCCGGC